CAACATTTAACAATGCTATAAGTTGGCTTTAACATTTAACAATAACATGGCAAAAATATTTACATACATAATTTCTTACGTGGACCCTCGAATTTAGTCGTGCCTTTTCCGTATGCAAAACTGTTTTTATCTATAAAATGTATTTTTTGTTAATATTTCCCATAGGAAATATTGTAAATACAATTAAACCATTCCAGACACCCAAAAATATTAACAAAAAATACATTTTATTGATAATAAATATATTTTTGAATACAGAAAAGGCAGGACTAAATTCGAGGGTCCACTGTATAGTAGACCCTCGAATTTAGTAGTGCCATTTCTGCACGCCAAACTATTTTTTTTATCTATAAAATGTATTTTTTGTTAATATTTCCCATAGGAAATAATGTAAATACAATCAAATCATTCCAGACGCCCAAAAATATTAACAAAAAATACATTTTATTGGTAAAAATAGTTTTGCAAACAGAAAAGGCAGGACTAAATTCGAGGGTCCACTGCACTTAGTTTACGTGGAGAACTTTGTGTCTTAGTAAAGATCTTAAATCAGGGATCCCTAATCTTTTTATGATTACAGGAACAGCCTGGTTGAGCAGGCTCTCATCCACCATGGGACCTGGTCATGGACCAGACCGCGGGGGCATTGACCCCCGGAACAATCTCCTGGCATACTCTCTTCACCAGTCAGTTGTTAGCTTAATGTTTTTATTATGTACCCTATACCCATCCTGTGGGTGGTATCAAAGAGATTACAGAGGTACAGTGGGTCCAGGGACTGCACCTCAACATTACAGAGGTACATAATGGGTCCAGGAACTGCACCTCAACATTACAGAGGTACATAATGGGTCCAGGGACTGTACCTCAACACTACAGAGGTACATAATGGGTCCAGGGACTGTACCTCAACATTACAGAGGAACATAATGGGTCCAGGGACTGTACCTCAACATTACAGAGGTACATAATGGATCCAGGGACTGTACCTCAACATTACAGAGGTACATAATGGGTCCAGGGACTGCACCTCAACATTACAGAGGTACATAATGGGCCAGGGACTGTACCTCAACATTACAGAGGTACATAATGGGTCCAGGGACTGCACCTCAACATTACAGAGGTACATAATGGTCCAGGGACTGCACCTCAACATTACAGAGGTACATAATGGGTCCAGGGACTGCACCTCAACATTACAGAGGTACATAATGGGTCCAGGGACTGTACCTCAACACTACAGAGGTACATAATGGGTCCAGAAACTGTACCTCATCATTACAGAGGTACATAATGGGTCCAGGGACTGTACCTCAACACTACAGAGGTACATATGGGGCACACAGTTGTGATAGCAGAACACGTTACAGAGGTAACAAATCATTTACACAGTCACACCTGATCATAATTGAAACGAGTTACTAATGCAAGACAGGAAATTACTGTCATAACCAGTCTTATTAGGTACCAGTATGAGTTTACCAGTCTTATTAGGTACCAGTATGAGTTTACCAGTCTTATTAGGTACCAGTATGAGTTTACCAGTCTTATTAGGTACCAGTATGAGTTTACCAGTCTTATTAGGTACCAGTATGAGTTTACCAGTCTTATTAGGTACCAGTATGAGTTTACCAGTCTTATTAGTTACCAGTATGAGTTTACCAGTGCTATTAGGTACCAGTATGACCTCACCAGTGCTATTAGGTACCAGTATGAGTTCACCAGTGCTATTAGGTACCAGTATGACCTCACCAGTGCTATTAGGTACCAGCATGACCTCACCAGTGCTATTAGGTACCAGTATGAGTTTACCAGTCTTATTAGGTACCAGTATGAGTTTACCAGTCTTATTAGGCACCAGTATGAGCTCACCAGTGCTATTAGGTACCAGTATGAGCTCACCAGTGCTATTAGGTACCAGTATGACCTCACCAGTGCTATTAGGTACCATTATGACCTCACCAGTGCTATTAGGTACCAGCATGAGCTCACCAGTGCTATTAGGTACCATTATGACCTCACCAGTGCTATTAGGTACCAGTATGAGCTCACCAGTGCTATTAGGTACCAGCATGAGCTCACCAGTGCTATTAGGTACCATTATGACCTCACCAGTGCTATTAGGTACCAGCATGACCTCACCAGTGCTATTAGGTACCAGTATGAGTTTACCAGTCTTATTAGGTACCAGTATGAGTTTACCAGTCTTATTAGGCACCAGTATGAGCTCACCAGTGCTATTAGGTACCAGCATGAGCTCACCAGTGCTATTAGGTACCATTATGACCTCACCAGTGCTATTAGGTACCAGTATGAGCTCACCAGTGCTATTAGGTACCAGCATGAGCTCACCAGTGCTATTAGGTACCATTATGACCTCACCAGTGCTATTAGGTACCAGTATGAGCTCACCAGTGCTATTAGGTACCATTATGACCTCACCAGTGCTATTAGGTACCAGCATGAGCTCACCAGTGCTATTAGGTACCAGCATGACCTCACCAGTGCTATTAGGTACCAGTATGACCTCACCAGTGCTATTCTAGTATACCAATTATGCCCTTAACTTCATATTTATGAATCAACTGGATGGAGAAACGTCTACAATCAACATACCCAGATGTTGATGAAATTAAGACACATGTGCAACTCTTGGGTATCTTAAAGATACCCAAGAGTTGCACATGTGTCTAATTTATCAATATGTACAGAAGATGAGGTAATCAGTCCCTCATCAGACACCTGTTACACATGTGTCTGATTCGTCATGTTGAGGGTATTGAATACCCTACATATACACCGTCCAGCTCAGTGGGAAGCAGACATTCTGCATAGTAATAACTCATAAAAGTTAAGCATTGTGGCTTCTGCTGGAGTTTACCAGGGTTTCCCTCCAGGATGCGACGCCTTATAGTCTTGTTCGCCTTATAGTCTTGTTCGCCTTATAGTCTTGTTCGCCTTATAGTCTTGTTTGCCTTATAGTCTTGTTCGCCTTATAGTCTTGTTCACCTTATAGTCTTGTTCGCCTTATAGTCTTGTTCGCCTTATAGTCTTGTTTGCCTTATAGTCTTGTTCGCCTTATAGTCTTTGTTCACCTTATAGTCTTGTTCGCCTTATAGTCTTGTTTGCCTTATAGTCTTGTTCGCCTTATAGTCTTTTTCGCCTTATAGTCTTGTTCGCCTTATAGTCTTGTTCGCCTTATAGTCTTGTTCGCCTTATAGTCTTGTTCGCCTTATAGTCTTGTTCGCCTTATAGTCTTGTTCGCCTTATAGTCTTGTTCGCCTTATAGTCTTGTTCGCCTTATAGTCTTGTTCGCCTTATAGTCTTGTTCGCCTTATAGTCTTGTTCGCCTTATAGTCTTGTTCACCTTATAGTCTTGTTCGCCTTATAGTCTTGTTCACCTTATAGTCTTGTTCGCCTTATAGTCTTGTTCACCTTATAGTCTTGTTCGCCTTATAGTCTTGTTCGCCTTATAGTCTTGTTCACCTTATAGTCTTGTTCGCCTTATAGTCTTGTTCGCCTTATAGTCTTGTTCGCCTTATAGTCTTGTTCGCCTTATAGTCTTGTTCGCCTTATAGTCTTGTTCGCCTTATAGTCTTGTTCACCTTATAGTCTTGTTCGCCTTATAGTCTTGTTCGCCTTATAGTCTTGTTCGCCTTATAGTCTTGTTCGCCTTATAGTCTTGTTCGCCTTATAGTCTTGTTCGCCTTATAGTCTTGTTCGCCTTATAGTCTTGTTCACCTTATAGTCTTGTTCGCCTTATAGTCTTGTTTGCCTTATAGTCTTGTTCGCCTTATAGTCTTGTTTGCCTTATAGTCTTGTTCGCCTTATAGTCTTGTTCGCCTTATAGTCTCGTTCGCCTTATAGTCTCGTTTGCCTTATAGTCTCGTTCGCCTTATAGTCTCGTTCGCCTTATAGTCTCGTTCGCCTTATAGTCTCGTTCGCCTTATAGTCTTGTTCGCCTTATAGTCTTGTTCGCCTTATAGTCTTGTTCGCCTTATAGTCTTGTTCGCCTTATAGTCTTGTTCGCCTTATAGTCTCGTTCGCCTTATAGTCTTGTTTGCCTTATAGTCTTGTTCGCCTTATAGTCTTGTTCACCTTATAGTCTTGTTCGCCTTATAGTCTTGTTCACCTTATAGTCTTGTTCACCTTATAGTCTTGTTCACCTTATAGTCTTGTTCACCTTATAGTCTTGTTCGCCTTATAGTCTTGTTCGCCTTATAGTCTTGTTCGCCTTATAGTCTTGTTCGCCTTATAGTCTTGTTCACCTTATAGTCTTGTTCGCCTTATAGTCTTGTTCGCCTATAGTCTTGTTCGCCTTATAGTCTTGTTCGCCTTATAGTCTTGTTCGCCTTATAGTCTTGTTCGCCTTATAGTCTTGTTCGCCTTATAGTCTTGTTCGCCTTATAGTCTTGTTCGCCTTATAGTCTTGTTTCGCCTTATAGTCTTGTTCGCCTTATAGTCTTGTTCGCCTTATAGTCTTGTTCGCCTTATAGTCCTTGTTCGCCTTATAGTCTTGTTCGCCTTATAGTCTTGTTCGCCTTATAGTCTTGTTCACCTTATAGTCTTGTTCGCCTTATAGTCTTGTTCGCCTTATAGTCTTGTTCGCCTTATAGTCTTGTTCGCCTTATAGTCTTGTTCACCTTATAGTCTTGTTCGCCTTATAGTCTTGTTCGCCTTATAGTCTTATTCGCCTTATAGTCTTGTTCGCCTTATAGTCTTGTTCGCCTTATAGTCTTGTTCGCCTTATAGTCTTGTTCGCCTTATAGTCTTGTTCGCCTTATAGTCTTGTTCGCCTTATAGTCTTGTAATATCCTGGTAGGTTGTAATAAAGTTGGTAGAATTACCGACAATATGTAAAGTAAAAGGACACAAATGCAACTAATGTGACATTTATTGTGGCAACGTTTCGCTCTCCAGGAGCTTTATCAAGCCATTACCAATGGCTTGATAAAGCTCCTGGAGAGCGAAACGTTGCCACAATAAATGTCACATTAGTTGCACTTGTGTCCTTTTACTTTACATCCTGGTAAGTGAAGCGTGTCAGGTGACTTGTCCATGTCTCGTCCTACCCATGATGCCACCCACAACAGTCTTCTAACACCTGAGTTCTTGAAAGTTTAGACACATGCAACATCTGGATATCTTTATTGTAGATGTTTCGCCATCCAGTGGCTTTATCAATACTGGATGGCGAAACGTCTACAATAAAGATACCCAGATGTTGCATGTGTCTAAGCTTTCATATTGTCGGTATTTTATACCTTTCTTGCACACCCTAAGTTCTTATTTACAACCAGGTGAAAAGGTGGCAGAAGGTGTGAGAAGACTCTTGTCCTGTCCAGGTGGATGTGTGGAACAGTCTTCCGAGTGAGGTGATAGAGGCTAGGACCCTGGGTAGCTTTAAAAAGAGATTGGGCAAATATATCAGTGGTGGTTTTGATAAGAACCTGCTTTATATGGGCCAGAAGGCCTTCGGCAGTGTTTCTTCATTCTTATGGAGGAAGATGAGATCTTTAGAAGACAGAGGATCGTCTTCTGGTTAAGTGACCAACTGGTTTAGGTCTCCCCCACTGTAAGAACAAGCTTTTATGTGAGGAAGTGGGCGTGAGTGTGGGCGTGGGCGGTGGTGTTGGTATGGGCGTGGTGCCTGGAGAGCCACTTCTCGACCAGTTACGTGATGATCTACGTTCTCTGAAAAAAATAAAATTTTAATGTGGACTGATGAAGTACGACTCGACTAACATTTACAAGTTCCTTAACTATAATGGATACTGAAGCTAAAACCTTGCGTAGCTTCAAATTTAAGTTCGATAAATACATAAGCGAGAGGTAAGACACACAGGCAACAGTTACGTGACTTTATTCCAAAACGTTTCGCCTACACAGTAGGGTTCTTCAGTCGAATACAGAAAGTAGGCAGGAGCAGTGAAGACGATGTAATCAGTCCATCACCCTTGAAGTCGTAGATTTGAGGTTGTCAGTCCCTCAGCCTGGAGAAATTCTGTTCCAAAGTCTGGAACTAACTGAAGATCAAGCGACAGTGTTGAGACTTAAATACTGTGGGAAGGAGAGGTGCAGAGTAGTAGTAGTGAGAATGTAGCCACTGAGAAGTCACGTCCCTCTCAGATCAAACAATTCTCACTTGAAAAAGTTATCCAAGGTATTTTCTGTACCAAGATACCATTGTGTTGCAGTGTCTGACAGAGTGAATATCAAATCTACGACTTCCAGGGTGATGGACGGATTACACCGTCTTCACTGCTCCTGCCTACTTCCTGTACTCGACTGAAGAAGCCTACTGTGTAGTTTGCCTGGAGTTTACATGGAGAGAGTTCCGGGGGTCAACGCCCCCGTGGCCTGGTCTGTGACCAGGCCTCGTAGGCGAAACGTTTCGGAATAAAGTTGCCTAAATGTTGTGCAAGACAGGTATGCAATACCGACAAGATGAAAGTTAAGACACTTGTGCAACATCTGGGTATCTTATTGTAGACGTTTCGCCATCCAGTGGCTTTATCAATACAGATTCTAGGACATAACTGGAAGACAGTAGGACTATGTACAGAAGATGAGGTAATCAGTCCCTCAGCCTTGGAGGTGGTGTTCACAGCACCGTGGTTGTAGAGATTCTGAAGCACAGGTAAGGAGACTGGTGCTTATATAGGTGTCAGTGGATAGGGACGTGTAGCAGACGAGGACATAGTTACTGGTAGGTGGGATTCCCCAGTGGAAGTAGGTCCTTCCCAAATTGATGGGTTAGTTGTAGAAGTCGTGAAGAAGGTCATGTAGATGTAATCTGAACCAAGATACCATGATGTTGTAGTGCCTGACAAGCTGTGTAAGACAGGTATGCAATACCGACAAGATGAAAGTTAAGACACATATGCCACTGGATTTACCTGGAGTTTACCTGGAGAGAGTTCCGGGGGTCAACGCCCCCGCGGCCCGGTCTGTGACCAGGCCTCTTGGTGGATCAGAGCCTGATCATTTCCCGAACTGAGCCTAAATACCTTCCATCCCCTCCCTCCATAGGTGCTGTATAATCCCTACAGGTTTAGCGCTTCCCATAATAGAAAAAGACAGAATAACGTACAGCCTAACACCAGTGTTGACAGCAAGTTCATTCAGGTGTGTAACGAAGGCCTGGGGCAAAGTAGCAGCGTTGGGCACTACCCTCATGTCTCCAACCACGCCCAGGTGGGCACGACCCAAGTACGACGCCACGCACACGGACAACACTGTCAGGGAGAATGAGTTAGAAATTAAAGATTTTGATTTCTTTGCAATGTGTGAATACAACTGTGATTTGTTAAATACAATAAAAATTACTAATATGTTTGGGCATTTGCATGGTGATAAGACTTTATAAATGACATGAACCACAAATAGATGAAGTCACTAAGGTCCTAAGACCCGAATATTGACAATAAAATGGCCAGGTGTTTATATTGAAAATTGACACACTTGTGAAAAATCTGGGAATTTTCAGTGAGAATTATTCTCATTCCTCAACCTAAGATTTTAAATCATTCACATCACGTTATTAGTCAAAACTAAGTGTACATGTGTCTGGCGTATCATAACCAAGAAGGGTTATGATACGTAAGACACATGTGAAACAGTTAGGTATCTTTATTCCGAAATGTTTCACTTACATAGACTTCTTCAGTCTAGGACACAAGAGCTAGCAGCAGCAGTAGACGATGTCACCAGTCCATCAGCCTAGATGAACATCAAAATGGTATACAATACCGACAGGTTGTTAGTTAGTTTAGTTTAATATGTTTATTATGCACCACATACCCATCCTGTGGGCGGTAGTCAAAAGATTACAGAGGTACATAATGGGTCCAGGGACTGGACTCCAAAGTTTTGATGGCTGAGCAAGTTACAGAGGTAATGAATTCACAATTTACAAAGGTAATGAACTCACAATTTACAAAGGTAATGAACTCCAGGTAGGTCTAGTCACAATCATGACAGTTGTTAGGTAAGACACATATGCAACAGTTAGGCAACTTTATTCCGAAACGTTTCGCCTACACAGTAGGCTTCTTCAGTCGAGTACAGAAAGTAGGCAGGAACAGTAGAGATGTGAAGACGATGTAATCAGTCCGTCACCCTTGAAGTCGTAGAATTTGAGGTTGTCAGTCCCTCAGACTGGAGAAGTTCAGTTCCATGGAACTATGGACTATGGAACTGAACTTCTCCAGACTGAGGGACTGACAACCTCAAAACTTTAAGGGTGATGGACTGATTACATTCTCTTCACATCTGTACTACTTCTCTGTTACTAACGTTACTATATAAGCGCCAGGCTCCTTACTTCTGCTTCAGAATCTCCACGACTATGGTGCTCTTCGCACCTACTCCAAGGTTGAGGGACTGATTACCTCATCTTCTGTACATAGTTCTACTGTCTTCAAGTTATGTCCTAGAATTTGTATTGATAAAGCCACTGGATGGCGAAACGTCTACAATAAAGATACCCAGATGTTGCACATGTGTCTTAATTTCATCTTGTCGGTATTATATACCATTCTTGCACAACTTTTCTGTACTCGACTGAAGACGTCTACTGTGTAGGCGAAACGCTTCAATAATAATACCTAACTGTTTCAGATGTGTCTTATCAACCTGTCATAGTGTATACCATTTTCATATTTACGTGGTGGAGGCTTGATCCTCCGTCTGTTGAGCGCCAGACAGAGGAAGGTAATCCTTCCTATTTAAAATCATGTACATATCTCAGATTGATAATAATATGTCTTACCAGCGCCATCCTGCGGGGGTCTCCAGTAGAAGATATTCAGGAGGTCGTGTCCCCAGAGGTTGATGGGGTGGGAGGGTCCTGCTAGGTTGGACATGAGGATAGGATATCGAGCTGAGAGAGCTCGGAACACCCACCCCAGCAGAGTCTCCGGCAGGAAGTATGCTACATTCCTCACCAGCCACACGGAGGCCAGGTAACGCTCGGGGTAGGCATGAATTTTCTGCATGGAGTCTTTTACGGTGGGGTTGGGTGTGGAGGAATAAAGTGGAACCTGTGGGGGTGCCAGGGTAAACCAGACCTGGCGTGCGAGCGTGCCACGACCCCTCAGCCCACCTTTGTGAGTAAAACTGGTAATGTACAAAGATTTCGCGGAACAGGCACCCCCATCACAGCGTTTAGTCCCGCCTGCACCAGCAGAAGCCCTTTAGCAGCACCCCCGTCAGGGGGTCCAGTAAAGCCTCCCCAACCCCGGGGAAAGTGCTCAGGGGAAAAACGGGGTTTCACCCCTGTACAGCCATACCACCAGTCTGCCCCCTACCCCTGGGGGGGAAGTGTTCTTCGGCGACTTTCCTTTAAGCCCCCCCCAAAAGGGGGGGAAACCCAGTTTTGAGGCCCCCCTTTCCTTTACCGGGAATTTTGGTTTGTGTAAAAAGGTCGTTTTCATCCAAAATTACACCCCACACAGCATCTATCAAAAATAATAATTTCCTCGGGAAGCACGTCCCCTTTGCCTTTCCGAAAACAAAAATTTTGCCCCACACTGAGAGTTTTCCCAGGAAAACTTTAAACACCCACACAGTACACCACAGAAAAACACCAAAACACCCAGGGGCCCACACCCCCAGATAAACACATGGATGACGGGAATTTTATGTTGAAGGTTTTTTTAAAAAAAATTTTTTTTTTTTTGGTTTTCCCCCACGTGACCCAAGCCCACCTTTTTATTTTTCCGCTCAGTTTGGAAAAACGAGGGGTAAAGCAAGCAGTCACGGGGCCCGGGCTTCAGGGGGGGGGGAGGTTTTCCCGGGCCTACTTAAGCAGCCTGCACACCCTTTCCTCCCCCATTTGCACAGGGTGGGCGACAAGCGTGCCACCACCCCCAAAAAAACCATGAAACCCCTTGAGAGACTTTTTGGAGGTAAGAGTGCGGGCCTATTGAAAAAGGGGAAAGGGTTTGGGAAGCAGGAGAAGAAAAGGGGTTGAGGTCTGGTACCCTGGTTTGCCCCCGGGGGGTCGGGGTAGGCGGTCCCAGCAAAATCAGGAAGTTTTAGTTTGGATGCCATTTGGTTGGTGGGCACGTCCCCATCCCCAAGTTCCCCACTTTCCCCCCAATAAAAGGTAATTTCACTGTCCCCCGGGCCAAAGGGGGAAAGGTCCGGGACAGGGGTTTCACTCACCGCCTCACTCACACACTCCTGCAATAAAAATTCTTAAATAAGGAGCGGGGGATAAAAGTTACCCCATTCCTTGTGTTGGGCTGACCCCAAAGGATTTTTGAAAATTTTCGTATATTCTTTAAATTCCACATAGTACACAACCCGCAGATAGGAGAAAAAAGTATACGTCAAATAGCCCCTGGTCGGTTTAAAATTTGGAACATTTTGCAACTCTTGGGTATCTTTTTTGAGGGGAAAAGTTTTGGCCCCACAGTGGTTTATAGAAAATTAAAAAACGAAAAGGAAAACTGCGAAGGCCCACTGGGCCCCTGCGAGGCAGGGCCAAGTTCCTAACCCGGGTTTAAACCAAGCCCCCCAAACCCTTTTAGGTTTTAGGTAAAATTGACTTAAGGGGGGAACACGGGGGAAACCCACCTGTTTTGCCAAGTTTTCAGGTTAAAAACACACCCCCCCCAAACTATCATGTATTTTTTCCCCCTATTTTTAAAGGGTAAAAACGTTCTGGCTCTTTTAAAAAATTTCTTGGGGGTTTGTTCCACTCATTTCCCCAAAATCTATTAAACCCAAAAAGTAAATTTCCTATTTCCTTCCTGAATCTGAATTTTTCCACTTAAAAACCCTTGCTGCGAGTCCCGGGCTAGGGTAAATATTTTCGCACACTATTTAATCCCCTTTATTTATTCTTTTTCCATTTATTTCACCCCAATAAAATCCCCCCTAATTCTACGTCTTTCTAGGAGTGCAAATTTTTAGGGCCTTGTCTATCCTCATTGGGAAGGTTTCTTTAACATGGGATCATCTTTTTAAACCTCCTTTGTACATTTTCCCGGAATTTTTTAATTATTCTGTAAAACGGTGGGCCAAAAAATGGCAGCATAATCTAAATGAGGGCCCAACCAAGGAAAGGTTTAGGTTTTAAGAAAAAACCTGGGGACTCCCTTTTTTTTAAAGCTTTTTGATATGAAGCCAAAGGAATTTTTTTTAATTTTATTTATTTTCGAAAAACTTTTTGAACCCCGTTGTCTTGGGTTTTAGATTACTGCTAACCAGAATCCCCAAATCTTTTTCGAATCCGTAAATTAAGATCTACATTATTTAGTTTATTGTGGATGGTTATTGTCCTGTCCAAAATTTAGAAAAATTTGCATTTGTCTATATTTTAAAATGCATCTGCCCACTTTCCCCACCCCTGGGATCAGTTTTATTTTAAACTTCCTGGGTGCTCGGGAAAGTCCCCCGTCAGAATGAATTCGGGCCTATTTTGGGGTAAACGGCAAAAATTTCCGATGTCGTCTTTATGCCCCATCTATGTCGTTTTTGTAGATTGTGAACAGCAGGGGGGCCAACAATGGGCCCCTGTGGAAAACCGCCGTGCGCTTCCCCACTTTTGATTTTTTCCCCCCTTTTGAAAACCCCTTTTGCCTATTTGTCAACCATGGGCCCCTATCCAGGAAAAAAAATTTTTCCTTCCCATTTTCCGTGCTTTAATTTTCCTCTTTTTTCTTGATGTGGGGGCCCCGTCAAAAGCCTTACTGAAGTTTCCCTATACCCCAATATATATTTTTATTAAACCCTGATCTACCTCCTCAAATACCTTAGTGAAAAAAAAATTTAAAAAATTCGTATAAGGGGAAACCCCCCTTTTTAAAAACCATGCTGGATTCGTTTTATTAATTTTGTTTTCAAGATGGTACGGGAAATGCCTCGGCAATTAAATTTAAATTTCCCTAAATTTTTCCCCCTATGGGGTTAGGCTTTTTGGTCATTGGGTTTGAAGCCCAAGGACCCGTCACTGGTTTTTAAAAAAAGGGATCACATTTGCCCTTTTCCATTTCTGGGACCCCCGCCAGTTTTTTTGGTTTGTTGAAAAGATTAGCCCAAAGGGTTTTGCTAAACTCCTCCCTTTTTTTTCCTTTAGAAACCCCTTTCATTACAGGTTTATCAGGGCCTGGGGGGTTTGTTAGGTTTTAATTTACTATTTTTCCTAAGGGGGCCATGTCACTTGTTGACCCCAATAGTGCCAAAAGTTTATTATCGTCCTGTTCTTTCTTTAAATTTTTCTTTTCTGGAAAATCGCTGGGTATCCCTGTGTAAAAATTGAGAGGAAGTATGTGTTAAAAATTCTACCATTTCCTTATCACTGTCAGTGAGCTGACCGAGGAACTTTTGAGTGGGCCTATCTTGTCCCTGATCTTACTTCTGTATACCTGAAAAAACCCTTTTTGGGGTTAGTCTTCGATTTCTTTTGCAATTTTAAAACCTCATAATCTCTTTTTGCTTTTCTAATTCCCTTTTTTATTTTTTTCTCTTTAACTAAAATATATCGTTTTTCTTAATTGCCCTTCCTTTTTGATTTGCCTATATATGCCTCTCTTTTGCCCAAATCAGATATTTTAATCTATTGTTCATCCTTTTTAGGATCATTTTTGTTTGATCTGATTTCCCTATTTGGAAACATAATTTGACTGAGCAGCTAGAACTATGCCCTGGAAAGCATCATATCGGAAACCCATCACCCCCTACCTGACCCTTAGTCAGGTCATTCCAGTTCAGCCCACCTAAGTAATTTTTCAGTCCTATGAAATCAGCCAAGCGAAAGTCAGGGACGGAGACTTGATTGCCATTATTAGGGGAATTCCGTGATATATTAAAACGAGTGATTTGTGATCACTCTCCCCAAGCTCATCATTAACCTCAAGATTATTAATTAGTGTTTCCCCATTGCAAGAACCAAGTCAAGGAGGTTATTTCCCTAGTTGGCTCTGTCCACAAACTGTTTTAAAAATCAATCCTGGATCGTATCAAGAAAGTCACCCGACTCTAAATTTCCTGTCAAATTTCTCCAGTCAATCTGTCTATAGTTGAAATCTCCCATTAGCACAACATTTTCGTATGTAGATGCCTTACGAATTTCGTCCCATAGAAGTTTACTGCACTCCCTATCAAGATTTGGGGCCTGTAAATCACACCCAAAATTAGTTTTTCTCGGCCCCCGAGAAGCTGTAACCAAACAGATTCAGTGGCTGACGCTTCTAATTTATATCTTGTCTAAACACAACAATTTAAAATTGTCTTGACATACATCGCACTCCCCACCTTTCCTGTTGACCCTGTCAGTGTGGAATAATTTTATAGCCTTGAAAGTGACATTCAGAGGGCATCTCTCTATCTTTCAGATTGAGCCAGGTCTCTGTTATAGCAATAATATCTATGTTTCCTGCACTTGAATTAATCTTAGTCATCTATCTTATTTCTAACACTCCCGATATTAGTATAGTAAACCTTAAGGGAGCTAGTCCCTTGCTGCCCTCTGCTGTCCCCCCTTTTTTTGCTGACCTGTTCTATTGTCTTTTTTTATAACTTCATGCTGAAAGCCTTTTTTTACATTTACTGTTTCCCAACCCCAGTGTTGCAACCTGTTGTTTCCCCACACACCCCATACCTCTATCTTCCATCAGTTTAAAATCATAGGCATTTCACCAATGGCTTCTCAATCGAGTCTGCAAGTGCTACCACCCCTGACCCAGAGGATGTACCCCATCCCTTGCATACTACATTTTTTTGCCATAAAAAATTGTTCCAGTTGTCAATGAATGGGATTGCAAGTTCCTTGCAGTATCTGTCTAGCCAGCAATTTACACCCAAATTGCCCTAGACAACCATTTATTTCCTACTCCCCTTCTAGGCAAGATGCTACATTTTGATTGGGATCCCTCCCTTAGACTTTAAAGAAATCTATAGCTGACCTGTACTTATCTAGGCAGCTCTTCTCTCCTACCCTTCCCATATCATTTCCACCAGCACTGAGACAGATAATGGGTTGTTCCCAT